ATCTAAACTAACTATTTTTAAAGACTATTAGCTAGAATCGAATAGTATGCTTCCCTAAAAATAATAGAGAAAATTGGAACAAAAATTATTTTTAATTCGAAAACAAAGTTGCACTGCAAGAAATGTAGCAATGATATGAGATTATGTAGCTTTCTTGAACCCTCTTCTGCTTTTTCCCGTTTTCATTTCCTTTCCCGTTTCACTTCGATCTTATTGCTTTATTCTTTCATTTCATTTCCAGTAAACATCATTATAATGTGTTTATTTGAGCATATTTTCAACTCAAATGACTATCATTTCATTGCGCCCGTATGAGAAGGAAAAATTTGAAATTTTCATCAGTTTATGCTTCTATCAGAAACCCGAAATTATAATACAAATATGTTAAGTTTCATAAAAATATTTGTAGAAATTTACATCTCAAATATTCTTGTATAAGAAATTATTAGTTAAAAATTTCATGATTATATTTTTTGCTATTATTATTTCTTTTAATTTTTGATGTCTAATCGGATATAAAAGTCAATTTCCTGTCACAAAATGTTAGTTTAATCTCATTTCAGTCTTATTCCCAAACTTCAACCTCTATTTCTTGTTATGTTATATTCATCAATAAAAAAGTAACGCCAAAATTTTCGATGTTATACTACACTGTTACAATCTGCATCCAAACGATTTCTCTTCCAAACTACTATCTCAACAAACAATGCCAAATTGTACTCTCTCGAATCAACAACTCAACTAAGTGGTCGACTTTATTATTGATAAATCACTGATAATGATCTATAGGATCTAAGAAGAAAACCACTCCGAAAGAAAATTAACCTTCACTAAATAATTCGACTGTACCGAAACTAAGCTCTTCTTAAACAAAATAAAAAGTTATAACTTTATGCTGTTCACTGATCAATGCATGCATTGACATGCATTGCAATAGTCATTCTTTCATCACTTGAACTACGCTATTTAACGAAAGGAGGAAAGTGGATATGTGAAAGAGATAAATGCATTGTCATCATTCAAAAGAAGTTAGCATGAATTCTTAATTTACTGTTGTCATTTTGATATTTAATTCTATACCAATTACTGTTTATAATTTCTAAGCAAACTATTGTAAATTATTCATAAAAGGAATAATATCTGTTTGCATGTATGCATGCATGCTGATTGCAATAATTAGATAGAATCAGTACCTAACAAATCATTCATCCTGGAAGTATAGGTTAAGTATTGTTCTGTATTGTGGGTAATTGGTATATTATTGTCTAAATTAATACATTTCAAAGATGAATTGAATGTAATAGTTTGATAATTATTACTATAAGCTTTTTTTTCTAAGGGGCGGTATATAGTAATGACTAATATATCATCAAACAAGATAGGTAGAAGTTAAATGATAGATGTAATAATGGAAGTGAATCTGTAAATTATGCAAAGTAGAGCAATTTGCAGAAGCATTTAAAAGCTTATATACATGATTAGCGTATAGAAACATACGTTATATCGAATTACGAACTGATTATCAGTTATTAAATTTTATTTCGGATAAAGCGATAATTAGAAAATTCCCGTCGCGTTACTCAGAGTAAAATTCATCCAAACAATTCCATTTAATCAAACATTATCAAAATTATAAAATTGTGTAAAACTACTAAAAGATAATATAATGATGAGAAAGAGGAAGAAATGATATGTAGGGGG